TCAGAGAACATCCTGGCCAGGGGTGGAGAGCGGAGGAGTGGATATTCGGTAAATATGGCCCACGCTCTTTACCTGCAGGTATTGGGGAGAAGGGAAGGGAAGACTCACAGCAGAGAACTGGCCCTAAGAATGGCAATGTAACACAGTCAAAAGGAGAAGCGAAATGTGCTGCTCTTTCCTCACGTTAAGTATGCTGTCGTCTTGATTATTAATTAAAGCTCGAGAAGGAATAATCTGATTCATTTCCCCCAAGCAAAATTCCTGCATTCAGACTGCTCACTCTACAAATCTTGCACTCACTATTTTGGGGGAGAGGGAGGAGAGGAAGGGTGGTGGAGGAGATTAAGGCCTGGGGACTGCGAAATGTATTACTCTACTGGAAAATGACTCTGACTTCTAAATCTATTTAAGAGTGGGGTGAACATTTGTAGATGTCTCGGTGTGAGAGATCGAGGTTGAATTGGTGACAAGAACAGAATGAGAAAGGTGGAGAATTTGTTTCCAGTCTGAGACAACTAGTTAGCCCCATCTTCTGAAGGTAACACAGACACTGAGGCTGCTGTAAGTGGGGAGAAAAGAAGAGGCCTGGTAGACGTGGTCACGCTTTCCAGTCCAATTTGCACCCAAATTGGCCTGTTGGATATGCAAAAACCCATCCACACACGTTCAACTTGCAGGGTGCTCTGGCCAGGAAACACCCCTCCCCCATCTATTTTGGCTAGTAACAGTTTGTTGTTGTTGTTGTTGTTTTTAAGAAGTCATTGCTGATACAACCACAAACCACTGAGCATGTTTTGTATAACAAACCTAATGGATATGAGTATACCCTGATAAACATATCCCAATCTCATCATAAAGTGTAATTAAAATTACTAAAAAGAGCTGGAAGTCACTTCCTGGAAATTACTGATAATCCATGTATTAGGGGAATATATTTCTAATATCCTATTGATTCCTATAAGAAATATCCTATTTGGAGAGACTTGAATGCATTCAATCTTTAAAATAATATCACACATTCTTCGCTTGTATGCAAAACATTTTCCCTGGTCAATGTGAGCTTCTGTCATATAAAATCAGATTCCTGCAGCACCCATTGAGGAGTCCAGTTTTTGCTATCTGAAAGTAAACAGAAAAGAAACTTATTTTCCCTGCTAAAAATTTTATGCAGTCTCACAAAGCAATGCATACTCAGCTTTGATTTAAGAAACACCTTAAAACATTAAAAATTCATCTGTCAGAGCTGGTGTTGTATTCAAGGAATGGCTCCTCCAGTTTGCTGCTGAGCTCAGATTTGAATAAAATGTCCAATGTTAACAAACAATACCCACGTTTGGCACTTTGTGTATTAAATTGATCAAACAGATTTTAGGAGACACAATGCACAATTTGTACAGACCTGATTGAGTTAATATAATATCAGCAAATTTTACATCGAAATGATTCTGTTTCTTTTCTTTGTGTTTAAAACCAGCACAGATTACAAATTTTAATGATCTGAAAATGTTTGGTATACAAAATCATGCTTATTTCAGTATTAGCAAAAACACAAGAAATTTTTCAACACAAACACCCAGCTGTGTCTATTTTAAAAGCAGTTCAATGACAGCTTGCACTTATGAGCATGCAATCAGCTAATTTCGCTTTTTTTTTTCTTCTGTGTTAATCAACACTTTCCTTCCTGCATATCAGAGTACAAATAGTATAGTTACTCCACATCAGTAAATGTTTACGTAACCTGTCCTTTCCCAAGAATCCGGTTACACCGAATCATTTCACGCTAGACCGACTACGAAAACGTACCGGGCCGTCCACCTCAGAGGGAGCCCCGTGTGCCATTATATGTGGCGGTGAAAAGAGGGGGGCTGTGGGGGGGGAGTGGGGAGGAGTAGGTGGAGGAATGGAGGGAGGGGGAAGGGATGGGGGAAGGAGTGGAAGGAGGGAGAAAGAGGGGGAGGAGGGAGGAAAGAGAGTTAGTGGAAAAGTAGGAAGAGCAGGCCTGCGCAGGAGAGAATAGTGGATGGAGGCGAACTGAGATGGCCCACAGATCTCTCCAGCCCAGTTAGCCAAAGCCCATTGCCTTACTAGGCTTTGGGGAATATCCTGGGCTTAGAAATCAACCTTGGGGCCATGTCACTATCAACTTTGATTGCTGGAAATCTGGGGTTCTCCTGTGTGAATATATAGTTTGTTACAATCCATGAGATGTGTAGACATAGGAGATACAGCGGAAGGATACTTGGGGTTATCGTCTATCCCTAATAGATGATAGCTACTTGTAATTACCTATTAGTCTCTACAAAGATATTCTCACATACATACGTATATATTCATATATATATACATATATATATATATATATAATTTCTCTCTCCTCTTCAGGTTAGGAGGGGTGGATGGATAGAGTAGAATAACTCATTATTCTTCCGAGTATTCTACTGAAATTTTATGTTAGAACTTAACTTTAAAATCACTCATAAGGCACACTTCCTGGATACCAAATCCTCCAGACAATTGAACTGAGAGTTCATCCAAATTAAGATGTCGTGTGGAGAGGGGAAAGGTGTATTTCATTTACGCCTCTTCATCCCAGTCTTCTCTCGGGTTATAGAGTCTCCGTGAGACGTGGGTCGGTTTCAAGTCCACATGGGACGAACCAGTCTTTGATGGTTGTGCTCTGCACTAAATTCCAATCCCTGGGAAATGCTGGGCCTTAGCCCTGCCCCTGGCCGCGGGATCCTTTTAAAGCCTCGGGATCACAATCTTCGCACTCATTCCAATATCCTTCATCCGAACCTTTCCAATCCCAAACCCTAGGGAGCTGGAATCACTGCGACCCCCCCACCCCACACCCATTCCTAAGGCTCCTTAGACACAGCACCCAGGGGCAGGGCAGGGCAAGGGCTGACGGCGGCGGCGGCGTACGGGTACTTCAGGGTTGAAATCGTTACAGCGTAACACAGTTTGAGACATGGAGAGAGAAAAAATGAAAACTGGGAAGATCTAAAAAAAAAAAATCGGAAAGAAAGAGCCGCCCACCCTTCTTTCCCTTTCAATGTCAACAAACAAAAATGAAAATATTTCCAGGGTGATCGGTCGCGGCTTCCAATTCTGATCAGAAGCCTAAGGAGAAGCTGGAGCTGCGGGGAGAAAACGACCCCGAGTCAGCCGGTGTGAGGGAGCGAAGGTCGGAAGAGACAGAAAGAAAAGAGAGGGAGGAGGGGGGAGAAGAGACACAGGAGAGAGCATGTGTTACCTGGTTTATTTCAAGATTGTTTGGAACAGTGTTTCCTCCGGGCACCTCTCATTTCTCAAGGCCATCGGAGGCGCCCACCCCTAAGCCGCCCTTGCCCGCCCCGAAGCTCAGGCCCGGCTCCCCGAGGCGCCCGGAGCCCCGAGTTCCCAGTCGCCGAGGGAGGAGGTCGCACCAACCGAGTAAGTCACCCCCCTCCGGCCTCGAGTGCGCCTGCCCCGGTCCCGCGCCCCATCCCGCCGTCGCAGCCCTCTCCACGCCCGCCTCCCCCGAGGCCCAGGACCCCAAGCCCAGAGTGCCCCCCCCCCCACACCACCACCGCTCACGGCATCGCTAGATTATTTTCCCTACCAGGAGCACAATTTTTCCACGGGCTCCGAAATACCCAACCCAGGCCTGCTGGGCCGACCCGGCGGAAAGTAGTGCCTGGCTCCTTCCTCCTCCATTTCCTGCCCTCTCCTCGCTTCCTCAGCCTGCCCTCCCACTCGTTTCCCTCGGCCACCCCCACCCCGGCTTTTCAAAAATAAGACGGGATACAAACTTTAATCAATAAGGATAAATATTGACGCTCAAACGAAAAAGACCCGTTACAAGGAGCAGGAGGCCGGGGGTGGGGGGGTATTGGCCCTAGGAGAGGGGGTTTGGGTGGCTCCGGGCACGCGCGCGCGCGGGCGCGGGCGCGCGGGGTGGAGGGGGCGCCGAACAGGGCCGCGGCGCAGCGTGCTCCCGCTGGCGTATCCCTGCGCGCGGCGCGGCGCGGCGCGGCCGCGAGGTCCGAGGCCCGCGGAGAGGGGGTGGGGGAGGCGGACGCCCCGAAGGGGGCGGGAGCTAAAGGGTGGGGTGGGACGGGACGCGGGGCGGGGGGGGGGGGGGGGGGGAGGAGAGGGGAGGGGGTCCGGCTTCTCCGATTGGCCCACGGGAAGAGAGACGCTCCGGCACGCCGCCGGCTCTGATTGGCTCAGCGGTAGGAAAGGTTAAACCAAAAATTTTTTTACAGCCCTAGTGTGCGCCTGTAGCTCGGAAAATTAATTGTGGCTATAGCCGCCTCGATCGCTGTCTCCCCGAGCCTCGCCGCGGCCGCTCCGGGACGCGCCCGCCCGCCCGCCCGCCGCCCGGCTCTCCCCCCCTTTGGGCTGCTGCTGCTGCTGCTGTGACTGCTGCTGCGAGAGGAGGAGGAGGAGGAGGAGGAGGAGGAGGAGGAGGAGGAGGAGGAGGAAGAGGGGGAGGAGGAGGAGGAGGAGGAAGAGGGGGAGGAGGAGGAGGAGGAGGAGGGGGAGGAGGAGGAGGATAGGAGGAGGAGGAGGAGGAAAGGAGGAGGAGGAGGAGGAGGAAGCAGCCTGAGGGGGGGGGGGAGCGGGGGGGTGGGGGGGGGAAGACCAAGAAGTAGAGTTGGGAGCTAGGGAGCTTCACCCCCGGGGTGGTGGTGGTTTCTTTTTTTTTTTCCTTCTTTTTTCCCCTCTTTTTTCTTTCCCCCTCTTCCTCTTCTCCCTTTTTTTTTTTTTTTTCTAATTCCTGAGGGGTGGCTGCTGCTTTTGCTACATGACTTGCCAGCGCCCGAGCCTGCGGTCCAACTGCACTGCTGCGGGTGCGCTCCGCGCTGCCGCCGCCGCCGCCGCCGCCGCCCGCGCCCCCCGCGCTCCGCCCGGCGCCCACCGGTCACCATCGCCTCCCGCCACGCCGCCGCCACCGCAGCCCGGCTCCCGCGCCGCCGCCGCCGCCGCCGCCGTTTCCCCTCGACGACTGGGTGATGTTGGACATGGGAGATAGGAAAGAGGTGAAAATGATCCCCAAGTCTTCGTTCAGCATCAACAGCCTGGTACCCGAAGCGGTCCAGAACGACAACCACCACGCCAGCCACGGCCACCACAACAGCCACCACCCCCAACATCACCACCACCACCACCATCATCACCACCACCCGCCGCCGCCCGCCCCGCAACCGCCGCCGCCGCCCCAGCCCCAGCAGCCGCCGCCGCCGCCGCCTCCCCCGGCACCGCAGCCCCCCCAGGCACGAGGCGCCCCGGCCGCCTCGGACGACGACAAGGGTCCCCAACAACTGCTGCTCCCGCCGCCGCCGCCGCCGCCGCCGCCCTCGGCCGCCGCCCTGGACGGGACCAAGGCGGACGGGCTGGTGGGCAAAGGCGATCCAGGCGCTGCGCCCGGGGAGCTGGCGCCCGTCGGGCCGGACGAGAAGGAGAAGGGGACCGGTGCTGGGGGGGAGGAGAAGAAGGGGGCGGGCGAGGGCGGCAAGGACGGGGAGGGGGGCAAGGAGGGCGAGAAGAAGAACGGCAAGTACGAGAAGCCACCGTTCAGCTACAACGCGCTCATCATGATGGCCATCCGGCAGAGCCCGGAGAAGCGGCTGACCCTCAACGGCATCTACGAGTTCATCATGAAGAACTTCCCGTACTACCGGGAGAACAAGCAGGGCTGGCAGAACTCCATCCGCCACAACCTGTCCCTCAACAAGTGCTTCGTGAAGGTACCGCGCCACTACGACGACCCGGGCAAGGGCAACTACTGGATGCTGGACCCGTCGAGCGACGACGTCTTCATCGGGGGCACCACGGGCAAGCTGCGGCGCCGCTCCACCACGTCGCGGGCCAAGCTGGCCTTCAAGCGCGGGGCGCGGCTCACCTCCACCGGCCTCACCTTCATGGACCGCGCCGGCTCCCTCTACTGGCCCATGTCGCCCTTCCTGTCTCTGCACCACCCCCGCGCCAGCAGCACTTTGAGTTACAACGGCACCACGTCGGCCTACCCCAGCCACCCCATGCCCTACAGCTCCGTGTTGACTCAGAACTCGCTGGGCAACAACCATTCCTTCTCCACGGCCAACGGGCTGAGCGTGGACCGGCTGGTCAACGGGGAGATCCCCTACGCCACCCATCACCTGACGGCCGCCGCCTTGGCCGCCTCGGTGCCCTGCGGCCTGTCGGTGCCCTGCTCGGGGACCTACTCTCTCAACCCCTGCTCCGTCAACCTGCTGGCGGGACAGACCAGTTACTTTTTCCCCCACGTCCCCCACCCGTCAATGACTTCGCAGAGCAGCACCTCCATGAGCGCCCGGGCCGCCTCCTCCTCCACGTCGCCGCAGGCCCCTTCTACCCTGCCTTGTGAGTCGTTAAGACCCTCTTTGCCAAGTTTTACGACGGGACTGTCCGGGGGACTGTCTGATTATTTCACGCATCAAAATCAGGGGTCTTCTTCTAACCCTTTAATACATTAACGTCCCCGGGACCCAGACTGTAAGTGAACTTTTACACACACACACACACACACACACACACATACATACACACATTTGCATTGTAAATGATAATTAAAAATAAGTCCAGGTATTTTTTATTAAGCCCATCCCCCCCCTTTCTCCCACCCTCACCCCCCCCCATTTCTGTACGTTTGTTCAGTCTTTAGGGTTGTTTATTATTCTAACAAGGTGTGGAGTGTCAGCGAGGTGCAATGTGGGGAGAATACATTGTAGAATATAAGATTTGGAAGTCAAAAAATGATAGTAGAACGTGTATCTAAATAGTGACTGCTTTACCATTTCATTCAGACCTGACAAGTCTATCTCGAAGAGCTGCCAGAAGTCCATGTGTTGCAGTATTATAAGTTATCATGGATCTGTCTGGTGGACACAGACCTTGAGAACAACCTAAATTATGGGGAGAGTTTTTAAAATGTTAAACTGTAATTTGTATTTAAAAAGCATTCGTAGTAAAGGTGCCCAAGAAATAATTTTGGCCATTTATTGTTTTGTCCTTTTCTTTAAAGAACTGTTTTTTTTCTTTTGTTTACTTTTAGACCAAAGATTGGAGTCTAGCAAATGCACTTGGTATACTAAGTATTATTAAAACAAGCAAACGAAACAAGACATTTAAAAAAAAAAAAGGAAAGTTGTTTTAGTTGGCAACACTGCCCATTTAATTGAATTGGAAGGGGACAAAATTAATGATTGCCTTCAGTTTGTGTTGTGTATATTTTGATGTATGTGGTCACTAACAGGTCACTTTTATTTTTTTCTAAATGTAGTGAAATGTTAATGCCTATTGTACTTATAGGTAAACCTTGCAAATATGTAACCTGTGTTGCGCAAATGCCGCATAAATTTGAGTGATTGTTAATGTTGTCTTAAAGATTTCTTGATTGTGATACTGTGGTCATATGCCCGTGTTTGTCACTTACAAAAATGTTTACTATGAACACACAGAAATAAAAAATAGGCTAAATTCATATATATCTTGATACTTTTGTCTCTTTTATTAAGTAGAGCTAATTTTTAAAAGGCCATTCCATTTATAGGGAATTCAAAGCCAAACTGAGATCTGAACTGCTCCTTGAATTTGAACTGAGACTCTAACAAATGAAAAGAGTAATTTTTTTCTCCCTTTGTGGGTCAGTTTTACCAGGAGCAGGCTCTTTAATAAACACTAGCTTTAAACAAAACTATAGGCTTTCCAGCTGATATCTTTTAAGTTTTTGTGGATATACAGCAAAAAAGATATATTTAATTTTATGTGCATAGCTGTTTACTCTGTGCTTATTTCAAAAACCAGCTAATAGAATGTTTTTTATATATATTTTTTGTTTCAGGTATCTTGTTTATAGCACTTGGCAAAGTATAAATAATTATATGTATATGGTTAGCTAGAAGTAAATAATGAACACATGTAACTTATATAAATCTGCAGCCCTTCAGTTCAAGGTACAATTTGTGCTATGACTGCTGCACACATTTTTGTTTAAATATTTGTATTTATACTTTCTAAGTCAGCATTTATTTTTGTGGCTGTTTACCCACAATGAAAGAGTTCTAATAAAGATGTGCTGAAGTTGCAATATAGATTTTGCTGAAGTGATCACCTGTTGTAATGACTTGTAGATCGATGTCGATATTTTAAATTATAACCACTTAAAGTTTGAAATATTCAGAAGTAATATGCCTCTTTCTCCTTTTTCCTCCCATTTTTACAACACAGAGGTATTTATTTCATTCTCTTTTATATATGTCTGTATAATTTAACCTAGTTGTTTCTTTTGCTTAGAACAAATTATAATTTTGTTTGATCTTGCAGTATGCATATGTATACATATATGCATATATGAAACAAAAATGAAGACAATTTTTGAGTTGTTTTAGGTAACTTAACGGTTACAATTTCAGAGAATAATTAGAAAAATCTTAGTTCACAGTTGTCGAGGACAACTTGTTCATTTGTTGCAATTGTATGATCTGAAATGTGTTCTACAGTAATGCAGTAAACTGGCTACTTCTTACAATGGGACCAATGAAAAATAATCTGTCCCTAAGAAGCTATTAGCAAGCACTTAAGAGAGTTGCTTTTTTTTTTTTTTTTTTTGGAGGGGGGAGAGGGAGGAAAAGCTAGAGGTGAAACAGATTGACTGACTAAAGTCTTTTTGAAACTGAAAGGCAGAATAGTTAATATTGGACAAATGAGGATCCTTGGATCCTGTGGAGTAGAGAGAGAGAGGGAGATTGAGAGACACAGAGAGACTAGGAAAATTAAAGGAGCTGGAATCAAATGCACAGAAAACAAGAGGCAAAATTAGAGACGGCTACTTTATCTCTTGTAAGGAGATTAAATATAATTTCATTTTCTTAGTAGGATAACAGATTCCTCAGAGATCTGTCTTGAAATCTAACAGTTCTTCAAAGAAGCATAAAAAAGAAGTGGCAACAAAGTAGTTTATAAATCAAACTTACTGCTGATAAAAAATATTTAAATCCTGTACAAACTAGTGGGACTAGGAAAAGGAAAATACCCCATTACACATTAGTGGAAGAAAATATTGCCAAGAAAGGTATGTGTTTAGGCTCAAGAAAGGTGATGGTTTATTGTGTGCTTTTTCCATGGTTTTTATTCTTGGCATGAATATGTTCTTACCACAGAGGAAATGTATATTGCCTGTGAAAAGTTGGAAAAGAAAGTTGAATTCCTATACTGAAGTGAAGGGATATAGAAGGAGGATTTTCTTCATTGGTATTATTCCTCCTCTGGTTAAATCAAATAATTATCTATACTTCTTTGTGATTATAAGTGTTGATTTGGATGGTAGAAAAACAGAATTTCAATGGAAAATTTTCTTCAATGAAGTCAACTAGAAAAGTGACTTCTTTGCACTTGCAAGACTAAATTTTGGAGGAGTTACGTTTTGGCATATGTCCAAATTACATTTATAGTAGATATGATTAGAACTTTGTTTATTAGATATATTTAGATAAAGAGAAACAGACCTTGATGAAGGCCTCCTAAGGCCCAATGGAACATTTTATTTACCTTGATCTAATGCTATCATCCCTTAAGCTACTCACCTCCCCCCCCCCAAAAAAAAGCACATGACAATCTGGCATGGCATAAATTTAATACATTTTTGTTTCAGATCAGTTGTATTGTCACTTTATTTGCTGTCAACTTTGCCAGTTACAATTAGTTCATGCCAGGAAAACACCTCAAAACTTTTTGAAGATTATGTTCTTTCAAACTTAATGCTGCTTTTTGTTTTGTTTTTGTTTTCCCCAAGGAGATAGCAGTTGGCCTTTACTTTGAAATTCTGGGAATGAAAAACCTAGCAACTTGAAACTTGAAATCCCAAATTACAGTTTGTTTATAAAGTATCTTATTTGGATTTGTACAGTATAGAGCTAATAAAAATTACTAGTATATAAAAACACTGAAACAATTATGTAAATGAGAGCAGTGAAGGAATTCTTCCAAATGTGTTCCTTCCAAATACGATACCCAATTGGAAGTAGAGTGAACACAAAACATAGAACTAAGGATATTTAACGCAGAGGTTCTTATGGTCATGATTGCCACGTGGTTTCTATAACTATCAAATCAAGGATAGAGATGCCCAAAATGAGCTGGTGTATTAATTTTAATTATTACATTTAAGCTGGTATATTTTCATCCCATAGATAGGTATTTAAAACTCTCTATAATATGTGGTTTTTAGAAAGTGCATCTTCTACATCATTGTTGAGGAATTTGCATGCATTGACATGATTTTACTTTTGAGAAATTCTATAAATAGCTAAAGTGGCTGGTTGTATTTGAAACAAAAAGCCGATGGGAGAAGTAAGCTAACAAAGGGTGAAGGTGAAGATCACTAGGGTTTTTAGAGCTGGAGAGATGGGATGCTGGGGTTGTGTAACTGTGCCTAGAGGGCGGGGTTCCTGTACATTCCTACTTCAGATAATCTGCCCCCAACACCACTCCAGCTTCTGCCAGACAGATGGAACTCTCCAACGGGAAAATCTGCGCAGCCTTTCCAACAAGCAGGGTAGGTGAAACTTGAATTCAAACTTCCCTCCTCTTTGTTTTGTGTTTCTCCTAAAGGCCAGATCCTAGAGATGGGGAAAGAATGGGGAGGTCATCTAGATTCTCTTCCCTGAACATAGGCCTATGCTCTTACTACCTGTAAGAGTTAAGATGAATTAGCCATCTTTCAGTGATCACTCCACTGTCAATTTTCTTTTAAGCACATTTTTAAGGCATTCTTCCCCTCAATTCCCATCATGACCCCTTCCGCCAGCCACCAGCAGTTAAAGTAAACCATCTCTTGAGTTTTCTCCCCAGAACAGGTCCTGTTCCCACCCTGTCCCTATATAGGCCAATGCGGGAGTTTGGAGCTGGAGCTGGCGAATAGATGATGTGCTGTTAAATAATGTTTTTTTGGGGGGTCTTTTTATTTTTTAATTTTTTCTCTCTCCCGATTCCTATCTGTGTTTTTCTTCCACCCAAGGCCCTGCCTGCAGTTGTCAGAAGAAGGCGGAGGAAAAAGCTTTGAAGATTGAGAGCCTTTTTACCCCTGGATTGGTAAGTGAAAGTGCTTCTCTGAGGGCACGTGTGACTTGGGGAGTGTGTCTGGCTGTCTGCGGTCTTGCTTTTGACCGAGCTTTAAACCGCCCCTCTGGGTTCTTGGGCTTAAGTGTCTTTTTTCCCCCCCTTGGAAATTGTTCCCAGTGAGTGCGACACCAACAGTCGTAGGTAGAAGAATGCATGATTTAAAAAAAAAAATACAGGTGTCAGAAATCATGGTAGACCTCTAGGTAAATATGGTATAGCTTTGTCAAATAGAATGGAAAGGGAGAAAAAAAGATAGCTTTGTTTTTTTTTTTTAATGGGATGGAAATGGGACATTAAAGATATGTCCTAAAATGTAATTTTGTTCATGGAAATATAATTTTTTAGTCTTATGGCT